GACTGGATTTCTGTTACAAGGTTAGTAGGGTCCGCAATGCTTAATGTTTGTGAACTTTGTGAGATAAGATCAACTAGTTCAAAATTCTCCATTAATTCTTGAGAGGTAAAGGAAAAATAATTATCTGGAAGAATTCCAGTCTTGATCCAACAGTTACGAATTGTTTTATTAGAAACCTGTTTCCACGCTTCTGCAGAAAGGTCAATAGCATCTTTGATATTAATTAGTGGAGCATCTTCACCAGTTTCTGTTGCTTCCTCATAAGCTGCAATACGATTTTCACAAAATAGTTTACGGTAGTATGCCTTAAAACTCCAGATTATACCAGTATCACAAGGTTGCAAATATGCTGTCGTATGGGAAGGAAAATAGTGTATTTTAATATTTGAAGGAACGAATCTCTCTTCAAGAGTATGTGGTGAGGCTTGATCCATTAACAAAAGTATTTTCCGCCCAGCTTTTCTCATTTGTTCATTAAGCTTTTTAATATAATGATTAAAAATTGAAAGTTGCATCCAGGAAGAAGAATTCCAGTAATAATAAACTGGTAGTTTTGTTTTATCAATACATCTAATAGCATGAGGGTTTTGGTATTTGTAAATAAGAAGAAGTGGCAATTTATCATCGCCAGTACTATTACATGTAACTAAAACTGTGACCTGATCCTTTGCTTTTTTTTTTCCATGAACAGGACCACTTGCAAGAGTTTTTCAGGTTCGAGACACCAGTACAAACCAGTTTCATCACAATTATATACATCTTGGGGTGATATTCTTTAATAATATCTTTTAGTTCATCACAATAACGTGGAATATCATTTATTAGAGCACTAGCAGATTCTTCTTGTCTTATATATTCTTTAATGTGAAATCGTTTTTTAAAGTTTGCGAGCCACCCTTTTGACCCCCCAAAATTGTCAATCTTTAGTTTCTCAGCAAACTGGAAAGCTTTACGTTGGATAATTGCATCTGTAATTGTCTGATAGTTTGCTTCAGCCTTTGAAACCCACAAGCTCAGTACTTTTTCTAGCTGAGGATACTTAGCTGAGCGATTTTGCTTAGATTTTGCTTGTGTTGAATTAGGATCAATTGAAAGAAAATAATCTTGTTGTTTGAGTATTTTTGAAACTGTCGATTCGCCAATTTTAAATTTGTTTGCAAGTGCAAGTTGGGTGTAGCCTCTCTTTCGTAAACAACAAATTTCGGCTTTTTAAGCCTTTATTAATGTGATTCGTTTTGTCTTTTCACTGTCTGTTGCTTGTCTCTTGTTATTATTAGTATCA